CTGGTGTGGGGGAAGGGTGGATGCGGGAGGGCCCACAGCTGACTAGACCCAGTACAGGTGGCAGTCGACTAATCGCTTATTTAGCAAGCATTTGAAGCCATAATGAAAGGTGATAAATGGTCCTCGCTTACAATCATGGTCACATGATCAAAACTCGCCAGTAATCAGCATTTTACAGGTCCTTGACAACAGTTCATTGATCAAAATTTAGCAACTGACCCATGACAGTTGCAGGGTCCCAGGATCATGTTTTTGTGACCTGGCAAGCAAATCTGGCCAGAGCCAGATTCATTTAACAACCATGTTACTAACGTAACAACTGCAGTGATCCACTTTTCACAACGATCATAAAACGAGGCAAACATCACTCAAGAAATGTTTCACTTAGAAACTAGGAAAGTTTTGGCTTAATTGAAAGTCAAGGGCTGTTCTGTGTTTATGACAATTGTAGTGTCCCTAGATCATGCGATCCATTTGGGACCTTCCCAGCCTGCTTCCAACAAGCAAAGTTAGGTGAACCAGTTTACCTTAATGGAATCATTCGCCTAACAACTTCAGTTGCTTAACTACGGCAGAAAGCAGGCTTGATTCACTTAACAGCAGTCTGCTAAGCGAGGAAAATTCTGCTCTGGTTGTGATCAAGAACTAACTATCCTGTTTCCCCGAAAATGAGACCTATCTGGAAAATAAGCCCCAGCATGTTTTTACACATGTGCCTAATATAAGCCCTATCCCCCAAATAAGCCCTTAAGACTTGTCTACACAGCTGCCCGGCTGCCCATTCCACCTGGTTGCCCACAGTACCATGGCTGTCAGGCGAGGCAGCGTGGTGGTGGAACTGCCTCATGTGCCACATACCGACTTCAGGGCTCCTGCAGCTAGGCCACCCACGCCTTGGCACCTGCCTCACGGTGGCAGCACCAACAGCCATTTGCAGCAGGAGCCCATGTGGCCACTGGCCCACTCCTGCTTGCTCACGGCCGCAACGGAGCAGGTGGTCAAGTGGTGTGTGGCTGCGAGGCAAGGCAGGTGTTGGGGCACAGATGGCCTGGTTGCAGGGGCCGTGAGGTAAGTCGGTGCAGAGTGCGTGAGGCAGGTCCCCCACCCCTCAGTAGCAGCACTGGTTTATCACATGGCCTGCCCTGCAGTGAGGAAGCAGAAGACGTGGGCCTCCCATACATGGAAGAGGGCGAGGAACAAGATACCCCCTGAAAATAAGCCCTAGAGCTTATTTTGGGGCCCAAAAGAAAATAAGACCCAGCCTTATTTGGGGGGAAAACCACGGGTATCTATTCATCTTTAAAGACAGTTTGAGGATCTTAATTGAACTAGGAGTTGACTACTACTGCTACAACTGTCGTTTCTAAATTTTAGGCAAAAAAGTAGCCTTGTCATATAGGAGTTTTGCTTACGTTGCTCTGAAGAATAAAACCTACCTGCCACTTTTTGACAAACTCGGGAGTTGTCCGAGGAGGCTTAAAAAAAAAACCTAAAGAAGGTGATTGGTGTTCCTTAGGGTTGACTTTCCTCTTCCTTTGCCCAGGTGGTCATCTTTGTGAAGTCCGTGCAGCGTTGCATAGCTCTGGCTCAGCTTTTGGTGGAACAGAACTTTCCAGCCATTGCCATCCATAGGGGCATGCCGCAGGAGGAGAGGTGAGGCTGTGGCGGGAAGGGGCTCTGGGTTCAGCTCTGCCTGCGGGGTCCTTTTGCTGTGATGAATTTGCTCAGACTAGAGTCTCTGACTTCTTCAGTGATGATGCTTTTAAGCCCTGAGCAATGACCCCTGCCGAAACTCTTGTAAATTCTCTTGCCAAAAAAGTTGATTTGTACGAGAAGGTAACTAGACAAAGAAATGGGTATCCCGGGGAGAAAAAGCCTGTTTCTCATTTGAAATGTCCCTAAAAAGATGTGCACTTTTAGCATTTGTTGCTTTTCACATGCGCATCAAGATGAGCAGTGTTGGATCCTGAATATTAGGGGTTTGAAACACATTTTTTCAGAAGTCTGGAATGTTGCATTTTCTGCTTTGGGAAACAAGTTTAATGATTCCCAAAAGTAGATTCTCTGAACCAGAAGCAGATTGATGTGTTCCACAGGTAATCTGCTCCTGAGATGAGCGTTTTGTCTGGAATGCCATATCTGGAAAATTTCAGATCGCCTCCAGTACATTCATAAATATTGAAGCTTTTCAAAGGAGATTTGAGATATTCCATTCTCAAATTAATGACTTTTACACACCCCACATTTTGTGTGTGTATAATATGTGTAGAAAGAAGAAAAATCTGGGGGGGAGGGGGGTTAGATCACAGTAATGGGAATTGAACATCTTATGAAGCAGGGGTTCAAAAAGTGTAACCCATGGATGAGGGATCATCAATATCACTTTATAGCCCATGGACAATTTGAATGGGGCAAAAAAGTCCCATATTTTAATTCTTTAGTTGGGCGAAGCTTAGGATGCCAATAGGTTTTTTGTGGCTCAGTGGTAAGATGCTGAGCTTGTTGATCAGAAAGAACGGCAGTTCGAATCCCTAGTGCCGTGTAACAGAGTGAGCTCCCGTTACTTGTCCCAGCTTCTGCCAACCTAGCAGTTCGAAAGCATGTAAAAATGCAAATAGAAAAAATAGGGACCACCTTTGGTGGGAAGGTGTTCCATGTGCTTTCAGTGTTTAGTCATGCTGGCCACATGACTACAGAAACATCTTCAGATAGTGCTGGTTTTTCAGCTTAGAAACAGAGATGAGCACTGCCCTGTAGAGTTAGGAATGACTAGCACATATGTGCAAGGGGAACCTTTACCTTTACTTTATATTGTGGAAATGAATTGAAATCTCCAAGTTGGAAAAGGTAATTTCTATCTTTTATTGGCAGTGGGGTGACTAGAGTATAAAGATCAATAATTTTTGTAATGAATTAATTTCATAATCAAAACCAAAACATTAGCATTAATCAGGATCAGACTTGAACTGGCCTCTGTACAAACAAGAGAATTAAAGGATAAAGCTTCTTTT